ACTCTGGTACGTTCCTCAGGAAGAAGAGTATTAGCCAATAACATATGAGTGAGGCTCTAAGCCTGGAGGGCCCTTTTGAAACTCTCTTCTGTGGTGAATGAGCCCAACCTTCGCTCGAGTTGCATGGGGTCATTCATAGAGAACAAGTCATGTACCTGGATAATGCCCTCAGGTCCAGCAACCTCTCTTAAAGGGGCTATGATTTGTGGGACTAGGGGCTGGACCTAGTTTGGGGGGAACTAAAGGTGTCGGCTGAGTCAGGGGGAGCACCTGAGGGGGTGGACGGAGCCGATGGGGGAGGTCGATAGGGAGGGGGTTCATCTGCCAGATAGGTAGGGTGAGAATGAAGAAGAGAAAAAGCCTCAACATAGGGGATCTCCTTCCACTTTTTCGAGTGCTCGCAGAAGTTAAACAGATCTCTGAGAATTGCAGGGTCTAGGGATCCTCCTGGGGGCCATTGACTTTGTCTAATTGATAGTAAGGCCAATTGTGTGTGCACAATTTAAAAAGGGGAGTCTGCAGGGAGGGAAGAAGAGGCCCCCAGAGGTCAGGAGAGGGACAGGGTGGTTGAGAGAGAGAGAGAGAGAGAGAGAGAGAGAGCGAGGAGTGCCTGTTCTTCCACCCCTCAGGACCTCCCACTCATGAACTGGGTTCCAGAGAGTCCAGCATGACCATGAAGGTCATAGTGGGGTGGGTTCTCTCCTCGAGATTGGGTGTCAGAGGTTTGCCGGACAATCACGGTCAAAGCCCCTGCGTAGCCCATCTGAAGTTGGTTACCCAATAGGGGAACTCACCTACTGAAGAGCTGGTGTTGTGTGAGTAGCAGCAGCGCTCGAAAGAGTGGACGAGGTCGGCAAGCCTTGGGAGAGGGGGCCCTCAAGCAGCAAGGCATTCCCCCTCCCGGGTTTCGGCACCAATGAAAGAACATCAAGGCTTGCCATTGGAGAAAAATGCCCGTTTATTGAGGAACAGCTCTGCATATTTATAGAGCCAGAGGTGGTTTGACAGTTGGCATGAGGTGCTTTTTGATTGGTTGCCGAAGTCTGGCTTGGCACAAATCAGGAGCCACTTGTCAAAAAGAAACTAACTTTATTTTTAGAACTACAAACGCCAAACAAAACAGCTCCAGGGAAAAACCCTCAGAGCCCAACTGCCACCACCGGCTTCCACACGCCTCTCCCCCACACACCAGCCTCTCAACCTCCCACAATCCTCCTGCTCTTGAGGCCGATTGGCTGGGTTGCGTGGGCAGAGCCAATGAGCAGCTCCGTGGAGGAGCCAATCAGCTAGATGTTGCTGGGGCCGCTGTGAGCCAATCATCAGCTGGCAGTCTGAAGGGCAGGGAAACAGCCCAATGAACATCACCGCAGAGGAGCCAATCAGCTAGATGTTGCTGGGGCCACTGTGAGCCAATCATCAGCCGGCAGCTGGAAGTTTGCTGGCAGCTGGATCATCAGCCGGCAGCTGGATCATCAGCCGGCAGCTGGAAGTTTGCTGGGGCCACTTTGGCTGTGGCTCTCAACAATTGGTGGGTAGGATCAGGTGAGCCAGCAGGGCTAGTCTGATTGGTGGGTAAGGATCAGGTGAACCAGCAGGGCTCTGATTGGTGGGTAAGGATCATGTGAGCTGGCAGGGCTCACCATTGGATGGCTCTTCTTGGGGAATGAGGAAGTTAGTCTTTGGAGCCGGGGCGACTCCCAACATAACCCCATACCACTAGATTCTTTTAAAACAAAATAGTGTGCCAAACCACCTTCAGAGATCTGACTTCTGCCCAGACTTCAACACTGACTAGTGTGTGAGAGCAAATCTTGCCTTCCTAGTTATAAAATGAGAGGGTTTAAATGAAGGTGAGATAGAAATTCAGTGATATCAAGAGAATACTGAGTCTAGAGGGAAAATATGCTGCTAAAATAGAGAACAAACAACTCATAAACACCTCATGAGGCAGGCAAATGAGCCTAAGGGACAGCAACGGGTCAGGATATAAAGATATACTAAACATCCCATAAATTACTTTGCATTTCCAGTTCCCTGAAAGTTTTCTGGAATGTAGTAAAACAGGATCCAGTCCTTGATAGAAAGACACTATTAACTTTGTGAGGATAGGGGCTGACATTTGATTGGATGATAACCCTCTGGCCTGATCACCCATTCAACCAACCAACTGCCAGAGACACTAATGTAAGCTAAAGCCTATACACTAGACCAGACTCTCTAATAAGGAAACACAGTTTTGCTTGATATTCCCAGTCCCAAGGGAAGCCCAACTCCTTTAGGTCACACATATTCCAGTAATTATTCACCCTAATAAATGTTTGGCCTCAATCCCTTGAAGGTCTCACTTTTGAGATTACCTGCACTTTGCTCTAAGAGTGTGTGCCTTCCCTTTATAATAAATCTCTCCCTCTGATGCTCATACCTGATGTATTCTTAAATTCTTCTCTGAGATAAAGTGAAGAGCCTGAAACTTAGAAACTGAAAACAGAACTCTCCTCTGCCTCTGGAGAGACCACCTTTGATGCTCACACTGTAACAAAAGCTTTACAAGTCAAGCATTCCTGTGGCCAACCCAAACTGAATCTTCAGTCCCCTTCTGCCCTGAAATGCCCCAGTGCTTTTTATTATTCACTGTTTGCCTTGTCTGTACAAGGTGATTTACAACTTTGAAAGGGTTCCTGGATTTTACTGTACCCCATACCATAGGCATAGCACAAATCTAAGCACTGGATAAAGCTCTTCAAGAAATGTCCATCATCACGGTTGTCTATCAAGTTTGCTTTCCTTGTAGACCAGTGGCCTCCAGACATTTTACTTTAATACCCTTTTAAAAATTGGAGAAAACCTGGAGAATAAATAACTAGCCATGGAAGTGTTATTGGTGTTATCTTCCAAGCACTTCTGGATTAGATGGGTAGTCCAGCCAGAGGAACTTAGTAAAGGCAAATTCACGGACAGCAATGAGAAAAGCAGTTGTAACAAAAAAGGGAATCCCAGAGGAAATGATGTTGGCAAAAGAACTTCACATGAAAAGAACTCTGAGAGATAATTATAGTGTTGAGAGTACAAAGTACAAATGGAAGTAGACCCAAGTGTACAAAGGGGTATGACAATTTACCAAGAAACTACCCTGTTTCTTAAGTTACCACTAGAAGAAGGTGAGAACTGCCCGTACTGCTCTCGCTGAACTTTCTATTTCTCAAAGTTTAAATTATTAATGTCCCCAGTGTTTTAAGTTACAGTGTACTAAGTATTAATTCTCTGTACATTCATAACTGACAGTGAAAGAACTTTTACTATTTTGAGAAAAATCTTAAAGATTATATGACATGATCCCTTCCTTTAAGATTGCATGGTTTCTGTTTGCAGATTCAGTTACCACATGGCCAAGCAGGAAAGGACTACCTGCAGGGTTTTGCATATTTATAATCTAAAATTTTTATCATAAATTTAAATAGTTGCAGAGGATATAATTTCCAGCATAGTTCTCCTTGAAATGGTAGAAAATATGCAAGTAAAGCATTAACCAGTGTCACAGGAGAAAGAAAAACTTTCTCTCTAACTTCTAAAGCTTTGATAATTGAGTCTATGAATTAACCCAACAATAGATATAATGATAGGAGAAAAGTCATTTCAATTATGTTCATAAACACTGGAGTCCCACAAAATACCATATGAGGCTCCAAGAAGGGGCAGCAATTTGAGGTTTTTAAGCACTTCCACTATAGAAGAGAACAAGCATTTGGGGCTTTCAGGGGGAGGGGAGAAGAAGTAATGGAAGGGTGAGAGGAAGAAACTGATAGTGAAGAGCGGCTGTCTTGTTCTGCAGGTCAAGGGTGTCATAGGTCACAAGTCTTGGAGGAGTCCCTCAGGAGAATGGGTGATAGACTGTGACAAATTCTGTCTGGGCATGGTATCTCCTCCCCTGTGGATTTCTCTTCCCTGGAGGGTGGATTCCCAGAGAAGGGGCTTTTAGCAATTGACTTCCTTTTTAGAGCATCTCTCTGAAGGCAAATAAGGGAAGTGCAGAGAAATCCTCTCCCCGTACTATATGGAGAAGGCAAAGCACAGCCAGGAGAGTGGAAGGTCATGGAGACCTTCTAGTTCAAAGCACTCAGCACACCAGGGCTCCATACTTAGGGATATTTTCTGAGTCCCAGAAGGTCTAATTAAAGGAGGCTGAGCCAATGCTGGTATTTCAGTCACTCCCCAGATGCCTTACCTTCTCCACCTTCTTCTCCTTGTAATACTTTTCAAGTGAACTGGGAGGATTTCTTTTCAAAAGAAAAGGTTGGAAAAGACAACCCAATGTGTTGTGGGTTTTTTTTTTGGGGGGGGGCTTTATGGAAATATGGATCTGGAATTTGATTTCCCTAAAACTGCCCTGGGCCACCTATGCCTTAATCCTTGGTATACCTACAAGTGGGTGGCACCCCAGTTAGAGACCTGGTTATTAAGATCCCATGACACCTCTCCAGCGCCCAGCTCCTCTCCTCTACCTCTGCACCCTTCTCTCTTTTGCCACTGAACCAGTGGCATCTTTCTCATGTGCATTCCATGGGGCTGAGCAGTCAGAATAATCTTACAGGGTCAGTAGGAACAGCAGGCTCAGCAAATACACCATGAAATAAAGAATTAAAAACAACAGTTATCAAGTTAATTTTATATAGATGTGTGTATATTTATATATGTGTATATTTATATATTTATATATAAATGATTGTAGGTAGACCCAATATCTTTTTTTAAATTTATTTCTATGTAGTGCTGAGGATCAAACCCAGCGCCTCACACATGCCAGCACTCTATCACTGAGCCCTAGCCCCAGCCCGACAAGTTACTTCTTAACCTGAAGAACAAGGACCTGTACTAGTTTGACTTCCCCAGGTATTTGTTGACTTAATACCTTAGGGGCTTTTCTGAGTTGGGGGTTGGGGACAAATGCAAGCTCATATTAGACACTAAAGTATCCTACCATAACCTTTGCTTTCTTGGCATAGTAAAAACCATACCCAAGGAGAAGACCTAAGATGATAATGAGACATGCTTTGCCTGAGGACCCATGATGGAGAGCACCCTCTACATGAGATGACATCAGGAGTCGGGACCTTCCTCACCTTAGGAACAAAAGAAACGAAACCTTGGGCTTCTTGCTTCTGGCGTCTTGTTTGAGCCAGCCTGGGAACTCTTACTTGTGCTGGAGCCTACGAAGGGAAAACCTTGCTCCTGTGCAGTTGTGTTCCGATTCTTTTTGGAAAAGTCAAGTACCAGAATGGGCTGATAACGGTGCTAGCCATAGGTTCCTGGCCCTGTTTGGGGGCCGGTGGATTCCTCAGCCACTGCCTAACACAGCTGAGAGCTGCGCCAGGCTCTCAGGAGTGAAAAGGAAGCACTCCTCAGAGGCACACCCGCTGCGCCTTTTCCCAAGCGGCTTCCCAGGTATTGACTTGTGCTAACAAGGAAAGGGAAATTTCTTAGTGTAAGTTTCCATTTACCAACTTCAAACAGCACAAGCTTGCTCAATCTTGAAGCCTAAACGAATGCTTTACAGATAATCAGTGTTCTCACTTAATTCCTGAGATTCTTTCTTGCATTCCAAACATAGCTAGCCTACATTGGCACCCAAGAGACCGTTTGCAGAAGGAAAATGAATATGTAGCAACCTGTATTTCTTTCCACTGAATGTTCCAAACATATTACGTTTTTCAAAATCAAATTATCAGATATTTTCAAGAAGCTTGGGATCATCTCATATTGCTGGAAAGATTTAGCTTCAAAAAGCAGAAAAAGTTAAAAAAAAAAAAAAAAGAACTTAAATACTGTTTTCAGGTTTTTTTATGAGCCAGGAACAACCTGGAAGTGAATGGAGACCTTCAGCCTCTGGTCAGCTGTGAGGACAGACCACCCTGAAGGGTGTGCTGGTACAGTGCTCTCTGTGGCATGTCATTTCCTAATTTCTGTGTAACGTTTCACGTTCATCTTCCAAGGATGCAGAGATAGCCAGGTCAACAATATAATGAAACCCAGCTGAAATGGAGGCGTAATGCTGCCAGGACTCTCCTTCAGCCTGTTTTGTTTGTGCATAAGAGCAGTCAGCCTCTCCCATTGCTGAGCAGTTCTCTCTGTATTTGGATAAACCCTGGTCCCCAGCAGTACTTGAGTTTGACCTCTTACCGCTTCTCCCCTCAGAGATGGACTGACTGACTGAGGTGTGCGTGTCTCCTCACGCCCAGAAGTCCTTGGACAGAAAACTCATTGATTCAGTGTGAGACCCAAGCTATGACCAGGGAAAACCAAAATATTTTGAATAATGGAGTCGGGAAGTAGCCAGTGTTTACAATCCTCAGTGCTCTTATATGGCACCAAGGATTCATCGAAGAATTTTAAGCAGGATTTTGGCAGAATCAGATGTATTTTAATAAGCACATAATAACTGAAAGCAACAAATTGGAGCGGGAACTTGCATCAGCTGGTAAACTTGAATGTTTTCCCTGGGCACGTCTGTGCCTCACAGAAGATTAAAGCACAGAGCAGCAAGGATGTGGGTCCCAATCTCAGTTTGGGGCCACGAGTCATGTGTCCTGCTGCTTTTCATCAGATGGGCAGAACCTAGTGGGACACACTTATTCCTAATCCCCAGGGGGAAAGAGGTTCTGCTCCCAAGAAGACCCTTTTCTGCCATCAGTGTTCTCACTCAATTCCTGAGATTCTTCCTTGCATTCCAAACATAGCTAGCCTACATTGGCACCCAAGAGACAGTTTGCAGAAGGAAAATGAATATGTAACAACCTGTATTTCTTTCCAGGAGGATTCTGCTCCCAAGAGACCCTTTACTGCTATCTGTACTCCTGGCTGTATGTGAGAAGTTGTGTGTGAGGGATTTGGGTCGGACTAGCTTCCTTCCTAGAGTGAGGAAAACCGTTTTCAATTGCACATGTGGGAACTGCTACGGGGGTGTCTGGATTTAAAAGACTCCTGTTGGAAACTGCTTGTGCACCTCTTTCCAGATTGGCCACCTGAAGACTAAAATCATTTGTTGGCTGTGTAACTGCTGCAAGTGAGTGTGCTCACTGCTTCCTTCTCAGACTTTGCTTGCTGTTTCTTACCAATGGCTCACACCTAGCACCCTGGGAAGAGGACTGAATCATCTGTGTGCTTGCTGAGCCAGGCAGGCTTCTTTCCTCCCTGTCACTGAGAACTGACATTCCATCATCACCTTGCGACTTTCCTCCTTTATGAGCAATCAACTTTGGCAACTTTTGACCTCTTAGTTAACTACATACTGTAAAGTGTGGATCCCACTCAGACCAGAAAAACAGCCAAGTAAGCTCATGGTGCCTAGGTTTCTGGCTTTTGTCCTCCCATTTCTGAAGGGAGAAAAAAGCTAAAAAAATTAATTAATTAATTAATTAAATTATAATAGACTATCTCATGATCATTTTTATTACTTATATCACTTGGTAGAGTCCAGTTGAAAGGGTATAAAAAATAATATTTGGATGACATGTCCCCCCAAAAGCTCTTTTTTAAAAAAAATATTTTTTAGTTGTCAATGGATCCTTTATTTTATTTATTTATTTATTTATGTGAAGCACTGAGGATTGAACCTAGGGCCTCACACATGCCTGGCAAGCGCTCTACTACTGAGCCACAACTCCAGCCCCACCAAAAGCTCTTTTTAGAGAGTCACTGAGAAATTAGGAATGATGAATTTTCAGAGACCAAAAGCCAAGAGAAAGAGAGAACTCAGGCAACATTTGAGTGGATAATGGCTGAGATCCAGAATTGATAAAGGACAACTACTCTAGGATTCAGGAAGCCCACAGTAAATAAAAGGAAATCTCTATGTCTAGTACACTGAATTGAATGTGGCCATAAGCACTTGGCAGCTATTTCCAGCCCCTTCTATATTTTTTATTTATATATATATTTTCATGCTGCTAATCTGTAATGCTATGGACTCCACTCCCCAGACGGTTTCTCCTTGCCCAACCTGGATGTGACATAGGCCCTTCCAGGGCTCTCTCATGACACATGGAGGCCAGCTGTGAAGTGAGGCCATCTTCCTGTCACAGTGTCATCTGGGCAGTAAGGATGTGATGTGATCCTGAGATGTGGTGTTTCAAGGTAGTGGTAGCAACTGGACTTGGCGATCCAGTGCCTGGCCAACACCAGCATGCGAAACTCCTGCTGGACTTGGCAACCCTGGCTAGTCCCCTGTCTCATGGGGCTTCCTAACTTATGAAGCATGACGCAGGGAGTCCTGCATCTTGCAGCAGTGACAGCCTCTGACAGCAGCTGGTGTGAAGTCTCTCCTGTGCCCCATGCTCAGCACCTCTCCTCTCTCCCCCCAGAAGGAGGCTGTGGGTGTCCTGTGAGCCAGACTTTCACGGCTGCCAGAGAAGAAGTGGAAAAGCCCCAGCAGGTCGTCTCTCCTGAAGGCACCGGCTCACTCCAGTGCGCAGCAGCCCCCCTCTTCTCTGTCCCTGTCTCACAGGGAACTTTCTACTCTGGGTGCCTTCCTGGGAAAGGCAGCCGCATCTGCAAGAAGTCAGGAAGCTCCCTGCCGCTCATCTCCCAGGAGGCCTCCTTCATCTTTGTCCAGGGAGCTCTTGCTAACAATCAGTCACCCAGACACTGTTTTTCCTCCTTTTAATTCAACTTTTTGCTTGATGAGACTCCAGAATCTTGTAAGTACAATTATGGGTTCTTGGGTTTGTTGATTCTACCTTTATATTTTTTTTTTGCTTAACCATTTATTTTAGAGGCTTTTGCTTTGCTTGATTTCTGATAATACCCTTAAGACTTTTAATGGGTTTGTTTTTCTTCCTTAAAGAAGTTAAAGATTTTATCTTCTTATTATTTTTAATAGTAAAACATTGAAAACTATGAATTGACCTCTGAGAATCTCTGACTTTATTCCCAAAGCTACTGTATTATGAGCTCTAATTTTTGTTTGTTGTTAACAACAAAGTCTGTTGTTAACTAATAGACTTAGGTGTTATTTTAATGGTTGCATTGTAGTTTTTTTTGTTTTGTTTATGGTGCTGGGGATTGAACCTAGGGCCGTGTATATACAAGGCAAGCAATACATTGTAGTTTTTAACCTTTTCTATAAACTTTTGTTGTTACTTATTTGTTTTTGTTATTACTTTTCAATAACAGTAAGAAAAATAAAATAGAGATGTGGTGTTTCAAGGTAGTGGCAGCAACTTGACTCGGTGATCCAGTGCCTGGCCAACACCAGTTCTAATAAAAAATGTATTGCACTATGAATAGGGAACATAATCTGGAGAATTTATTCTTTTATTTATATTTTATGTCTAATTTTGTGTATATTTTACAACTCTCTAAAAGAAAGTGAATTATATGCTTTTAAGGTAGCTACTCCTATGTGCTACTACAATTTCTATGTTTTTAAAGCTACTACTGTATGTTGGGTACAAACTCATAACAGCTGTTGTCTTTGGTGCCTTACATTTGAAAACAGCCCTATCAATCCTAATAAATTTGATAGCAAATATCAACCCAGTTTTACAGATAAGAAAACCAAGACTCAGAATTTTTTAAAGCTTTGTATGTCGTAGATTGCTTGTGATGTCAGTGTCTGTCTATAAACTATTATCAGCATATTCTGAATTTCTGATAACTTTTCTCTTATATATTTTGTTTATATGTTAATCTGTGCCTAAAAGTACAATATATTTGTCTTCAGTGCTAGTTGTGCCTTTTAGCAATATAAAATTACTCTCTTTACTCTATTTGTTGAGCTTCACTTTTAAACTTTGGCACCGAGATAATGACTACAGGAGGAGGAGATTTACATATATAATCTTGTTAATTTGCATGGTATTTATTTTAAGGTCTCTGCCAGATGTTGTGGACTTAGGAGGACTTTAAAAGCTTTACTGTTGACTCCTAAGTAAATTAAGAAAAACAAAAGTAATTCTGTTCTTTACCTATCTTTCAGGCATGTTGTATATAGAAGATGAAATAAAATGTGTCTTTAATTAGTTTAAAGAGGTATGTAAATTCAACTTAGCATTATTTCTTCACAGGACTTCTTACTTTTCTTACTTCTGGCCTCTCCCTCCAAATCCACTCTCCAGCAGAAGTTAATAATGAAGATTGTGATCTAACCAGGGTTGATACAACTTTTAAATCTCCTGCTTTCCAGTTTCAGGATTCTGAGACTCTGATCAATGGATAATAACTTTATCCATTAAAGAACTCCTAGTGTTTAGCTTTTGTGTTTCCTGAGATAATTCAGAGAAGCAAAAGCCTTGTCAGTATTCGCTGCTGTGCACAAAACTCCTGTAGACACCAGAAACCAAGCCAAACTTGATGCGGCATTTGAAGTCAGCAGTGAGACTTCCAGATATCACTCGAGGTGAGGCGTACCCTCAGGACACAACCTCCCAATCAGCAACTGCCGCGCAGCAAACACAAAGGAAACCACCTCCTCAGTAAGCCAAATTCCTGGCATGGTCTTTTCTCTCAGTTTCAAAATTTCCCATATTTTCCTGTCAGTATCATTCATCCAGACATTTTCCATTGAATTAATGTGATTTATTTTCTCTTAATAATATAATTACACACTCTTTAAGAATCTACTCTTCTAACAAGATCATTCCAGCAGTGATTTGTCACCATTTCTCTGACACATGCTCACTACTTGTTGCATATAGGTGTGCTGAGTTCAGTTTGTTGAATTTTTAGAACATTTTATTTTAAACAAAACATACACCTGTCCTTTATTTCCATATCAACATTATTCAGTGTCTTATCTCATCATAGGAGAAGTGTTGGCTTCCAGGGGCTAACATTTAAGATCTTAATATGGACCACTGCAGTTGAAAGTTAGGAGTTCAAACTCTGATGAGAATCTTGTCTTGATTCAAACAGAGGTGGCAGAAACAGGGCAAGGCTGGCGTATTGATGGGAAATACTGCTGGAGTTGGTCAGGGGAAGGGATGGGAATGAGACCATGTGCAGGAAGGACCAGAGTAGGGTCACTTTGGGTGCTTGTCTGATATAACTGCAAGAGCCAGCCACACATCAACAGCAAAACCTAGATGAAGGCTGGATTCCCAGAAAGGTATGTGGACCATCTAGATGACAGAAGTGTCTGCTCAGGACAAGGAAACTGAATGAAGTCCAAGAGGCCTACCATGGCTCCCAAAGAGCCACAGAAGTACTTCATGAAAGTCTCTGCTTTGAACGTACACCGCGTTTAAACTGATTTTTTTTTTTTTTTGGTCAGTTCAATTAATGGAGTTTTTTAAAATTCATTTTTCACTCCCTGTCCAACAATTCCTGGGGAGAAGAAGAGGAGATGAGGAGACAGAGAAGCAACCAATTTCATCCCCTTCCCCGTTAGAGCTTTCAAGAGTTAGAGAGAATGTGCCCCGGTGCCACTAAGTCCCACATTGAAATCTGTGTAATAGTAATTAACAGATTGTTTAATACTTAAAATGGTCATGCCTCCATCAGAGAAAAGCCTGGAATCCACTCGCGTTCACTGGGAGCAGGGGAGGAAAATCTCTTCTGAACAAACAGTGACAGATAGAGAGTGGCAGTGGGCCCTTACTTGGCTTCTGTTGTGAGTTACGCATGATCCCTTCACTGCTTAGACTTCATGTGACCCACCTGATAATCAGTGAGGGGTGGAGGGCAAGTGTAAAGCCAAGGCCTACAAAGGTTACCTAAAGCCATAGAGGTCAGCTAGGCCTCTTAGCTGCAAAAGGAGGACTCACTCTAGCTAGTTTAAGCACATAAGGAATTATTTACTGGATATTAGTTGGCTCTGAGGGCAAGAGAAATAAGCTTATGGCTGAGTTTGCAAAAAGAATCTCACCACATAACTGTAATTCTCCCATCCATCCCAGAACCAAGCCACTGAGACCTGCACTCAGACTATTTCCTCACATAACTCACTCCAAAGTTGTATGTCTGGGACTGATTAGTGGAATCTACGTTACATACCAGCAACATTCTACCTAAGAAAGGCAGTATTTAGGTCAGCTTTCTGTTACGATAACAGATACCTGAGATCATCAACTTAGAAAAGGTCTACTCTGCTGCACAGTCTGGGAGGTTTCAGCTGTCAGTCAGTGGCCCCATGGCACATCATGGCGGGAGCACAGCGGAAACAAAGCAGCTCACCCCAAGCCCAGTAGCAGGTAGAAATCCTAACAGAGGAACAATCAAATTCAGAGACTATTTGAAAGCTGTTAGATAGCCACAAAGGGCAGAGGTCCTTGATCCCGCTAGGTAAGTTCTTAGAGTGGCGCTCTTATTGGATTCTTTCCCTGTCCATTGCACTTTGGGTTCTTTCTTGCTTTGTTTCCAAAGTCTGATATGGAGATTTGGAGTTCAGTAGCTCTCCTTAATCACAGGAACCATACAC